GCGCGCGCATGTTATAGAAAAAGAAAGATAAAGAAAAAACAAAGCTCTGAAATGTAAACACCTTTCTTAGTAACAGCTGTTGCAAACACACATACACACACATACACACACAACCACACATGCACCAGCCCATTTGTTTCTTGAAAGATTTGAACACGAGCAGATAATAATGTGTACCAATAAGTTTGCAGGATATATTTAAACTCAGATGAGAAAGAAAGAAAATCTGTTTTATAATTTCACTGCACAATATTTGTTGTTTGGTCTGAGCTCTGCAAAAGGACTCACTTGAGCTTTCACAAAATCGGTGCAGCAATTCTGCTCATTTTAAAAAATGTATTCTGCAGTGACAAATCAATTGCACACTGCTATTTAAGCTGCTTTTTTCCCACACATTTCCCAGGCAGGGCTGATTTTTAATGCTCACAAAGTTCATGTTTTAGTTCAAATGACACCCAGATACAGTAACCGCTCACACTTTAAAGTATTTTTGAAATTATGCTCACTGGTTTGCTTTCCTGCTTCTGCACGCTGCACTTCAGAACCTGAAACAAAGCCCCACACCCTACAATTTCCATCAATCCTTACCAATAAAAATAGAGCCAAGTTGACACCAAGTTCGTCAACAAATTCCTGTTTTTTCATGCCAAAAATATATCCATTCAACTCAGATTGACTTCATATTTTCCTCTCTTCATCTTTGCCCCACTTGCAGTAGATCCAAGCCACAAATGGGACCTGTCTCCTAGTTTCAAATCCACTGGTACCGACCATCCAAGAAGTTTGTGCTTCAGTTCTCATGGGTGAAGTTGTAGCATTGCATATGTCTGTTACCAAACACTAATTAGCAGATGTGTGTCTGTGTATCTATTCAGATTAGTCAGCTAAGAAAGACGGCTGTTGTTAGCTGATAAATTACCACTCCATTGTCTCATCCAAATATGTTAATATCTGGCTCAAAAAACTAATATGATAGCAGTCAAAACACAGAGGCTTCAAAATGAGGTTACAGTGGCTACACCCACCTTATATATGTAGAATCTTTAGAAATATAAAGTACCAATAGAGTAACTACATCAGTTAGTCTATTGTTTTTCATTAAAATAATTCAGGAACCATAGTTTACCCTACAATACCTGCTCTGCAGCCTTTAAAAATATTTATTATTTCTTTCAATGTAACCTTTATGATCTTGTGAGTTTAGAGCTTTGCAGTTTATAATACTGCAATTTATTTTTAAGATAAATTAATGTGTATAATATTCCTAGTCCCACACAATAATACAAATCATTTGACATGCCAGAATTAAATTCCTCTTCTACTTAGTGCCAGCCATGCCATTTCAATTCCAGATTTAATATGAAATCATCTCAGAATGCAACAGCGCAAAAGTTTAAAGTAAGAAATAACAGTCGATTCCTAAGAATAGTCTGCTTTTATGGCTGATTTTTTCTGCTTCCCTGCGGTGTGTTTTCTGCAGCGTGCTCAGAGTTGAAGAGCCAATACATATGTGAACATAGCTTGGCTGTTCTACAGCATCATGGACTGAAGGTTCTTACAATGAATGATGCTGTTAGAGCCAGGTGGATCTTTCCAAATAAGAGTGTGACTGTTCCTCTCTATCAGGAACTGCTACTCTGTCACTTACAAAGCCAACAAACCGTGCATAACATTTCTTCAAAGACACCCATCAGAGTTTCAAACTGCAGGGTGTCACAGAAAACAACACACTCCATCCATCCATTCTCTTCCGCTTATTCCCATCAGGGTCACTGGGGGTGGAGCCTATCCCAGCTACCATAGAGTGAGGCGGGGTACAGATAGCCAGTCAGTCACAAAGCTAACACTGAGAGACAGACAACAATTCACTCTCACATTCACACCTGTGGACAATTTAACATCACCATTTAATGTAGCCCCACAGCGCCGGTCCATAACTGCAACTGAACAAGTTGAAAAAAAGATGCTGTGGATCTCACCTTTTAGGGAATTCTGATGTAGATGATCAGACTAGTGGTTGGCT